TGTAGAGACACTTTGTTGCCCAGGCTGGTCTCAAACTCCTGGCTTCAAGTGATCCCCCCACCTCTCAAACTGTTGGGATTATAGGCATGAGCCACCATATCTGGCCTAGTTTTAAATGGGATACAGAATAAGAAAAAAATACATGGAAGGATAAGAAGTCTTACCTGTTTTCCTAATTTTCTAACTGTAAACCAGTGTTCCTTATAATTGCATATAAACGATCTTTCATTTCTAAAAAAGAAAACACACACAATATTAACTTGAAATACTGAATTCATATTTATTTATGTTGTCTACTGGCAAATATATAAAATTTGTGATAACAAGATTATATTTACAGTTAAATATCACTGATGTTTTGAAAAGATCACACAACCATACGAACGTCTCTACAGCAGCTTAGTGATGCCGTGCCAAAAGATGGCCTCACACACCACGCAAGGGTCAGCTCTGTGCTGCCACGGACACTGGGGTGCCAGGAAGGCTAGAGGGCAGATGCTCATGGACATCACAGAGGTGAACTAGGAAAGTCTGAGGGAATGAAACAGGGAACATCGAAAGTATTCAAAATATATTTCTCCTTTAAGAAATTGTAACTTTAAAAATCAAATTTGGGAAAAGAAATGTATGAAATGCGAAACAAAATCTTACATAGGATCGATCCTGAGCCTCTGATACTCGGGACTGTTGAACAGGATTAGTTCTAAACCCCAAACTTTCAAGGCATTGCTTATAACCTGTTAAGAAAAATAGCAACTTTCCATAAGCTAAACCACTCCATTCCAAATTTAAGAAGTGTAGCTATATTAATTGTGTAAACACTTTAAGAACTGTAGCTATATTAGTTGTGTACTTCATATATAAATTCCTCTAGAAGGCTATAGGTTTGTTTTTGAGATGGAGTCTTGCTCTGTCACCCAGGCTGAAGTGTAGTGACACAATCTCAGCTCACTACAACCTCCTCCCACAGATTCAAGTGATTCTCCTACCTCAGGCTCCCAAGTAGCTGGGATTACAGGCATGTGCCACCACGCCCAGCTAATTTTTATATTTTTAGTAAAGGCCTTTCACTATGTTGGCCAGACTGGTTTCAATCTCCTGACTTCATGATCCGCCCACCTCAGCCTCCCAAAGTGCTGGGATTACTGGCAAGAGCCACTGTGCTATGCTACTATAGGTTTTAAAAAGTGTGTGTGTGACTTTGACAGGCCGAGGTGGGTGGATCACCTGAGGTCAGGAGTTCAAGACCAGACTGGCCAACATGGTGAAACTCCATCTCTACTAAAAATACAAAAATTGGTTGGGTGTGGTGGCCAGTGCCTGTAATCCCAGCTACTTGGGAGGCTAAGGCAGGAGAATTGCTTGAACACGGGAGTTAGAGATTACAGTGAGCCAAGATTGCACCACTGCACTCCAGCCTGGTGACAGAGCAAGACTCTGTCTCAAAAAAAAAAAGAAAAAAGAAAATACAAACCTGATTATTTCAATCTGTCTGACAAAAAAAAAAAAAAAGGAAATTTCTGAAAATTCACTATCTACCCTCCAAGATAGCCAACAAAGCAGCAAGTGAGCCAGGTACCAGCAAAGACAAAAAGTGAGTGCAAGGCAGCATGAACAGGCACCAAGAGCAGCAAGGAAACGCCAAGTGCTGGGCCTGCTCTGACCTCTGATTCTAGCCCTGCAGCAGCCATCACCTGCTAACAGTGGCACGGTAAAGCACTAGATGGACGTGTTGGTGGATGAGGAGGAGTCCAGGAGGGTAGTACAAATAAAGATATCTGCAGAGATAGGTCGCTCAGGAGAGGTTCTGAAAGAACTCTGGATACAACTTACAGTGTTAGATGAAGAATGAAACACCCACAGATAAAAGAATCTTCCAAGTACGTATGTATAACCACCACAGAATTCAAAGAGAGCTATACATTAAAAAAAAAAATCAAAAGCCACAGACCATAATAAGGAAACCCAATCTGGTAGGCTGATTTAAAAGGAAGGTTGCAAGGTACTGCTTTTTCTCAAATTTACCCAACAGATGGTAAGTTTGAGCATTGTGACTTCTTAGAATTAAGGTTTTTCTTTTTTTTTCTTGTTTTTGAGACAGAGTCTCGCTCTGTTGCCAGGTTGGCGTGAACCAGGGTGTTGGAGGCATGATCTCGGCTCACTGCAACCTCCAATACCTTGGTTCAAGTGATCTCCTGCCTCAGCCTCCCAACTAGCTGGGATTACAGGCATGCACCACCTTGCCCAGCTAATTTTTGTATTTTTAGTCAAGATGGGGTTTCACCATGTTGGCCAGGATGGTCTCGATCTCCTGAGTTTGTGATCCGCTCCCCTTGGCCTCTCAAAGTGCTGGGATTACAGGTGTGAGCCACCGCACCTGGCCAGAATTAAGGTTACTATTAACATCCAGATGCAAATTAAATAATCTTTCTCAAAAAAGAATTTTTAAATGCCCCATTCTAACATGAAGATTCTACAATCCTTTCATGTTTATCTATATAAAAATCCAGTATTCTAATTGGCCAGGCATGGTGGCTCATGCCTATAATCCCAGCACTTTGGGAGGCTGAGGGAAGATCACTTGAGGTCAGGAGTTCAAGATCAGCCTGGCCAACATGGTGAAACCCGTCTCTACTAACAATACAAAAAGTAGCCAGGCATGGTGGTGGGTGCCTATAATCTCAGCTACATGGGAGGCTGAGGCAAAAGAACTGCTTGAACCTGGGAGGCAGAGGCTGCAGTGAGCCGATACTGCGACACTGTACTCGCCTATGTGACAGAGCGAGACTTCATCTCAGAAAAAAAAAAGAAAAATTACCTAGTACTTTAAAGTATAATCTTATACTCTGTAGACATGATCTATTAGAACTTCTGATGGTCACATTGCTGCAGTGACTACTGAAAGGCTGTGAAACAGTGCCTGGATATAAGCAACACATGGTACATGCTCGTGACTACTTACCTGAATAGAGAAGAAACCACTGTCATCCATATTTCCAGAAGGCTGCTGTTAATTTTGACAGGTAGTTGAAGCAAGGGTGGGGGTGGGGAAAGAAGGATACGAACTGTCATCAGCGTGCATATTTAAAATAAAATCTCATGCATTCCCATTTCCAAAGTTAAAGGCACAGTCAGAATTCACCAGTCAGATCCCTATAGGAAGAATGGCCCATTCTTTTCTAAATTGTATCCATGTTTTTAAAAGAAATGTGGGCCAGGCATGGTGGCTTACGCCTGTAATCCCAGCACTTTGGGAGGCCAAGGTAGGTAGATCATGAGGTCAGGAGTTCGAGACCAGCCTGGCCAACATGGTAAAACCTGTCTCTACTAAAGATACAAAAAATTAGCCAAGTGTGGTGGCGTATGCCTACAATCCCAGCTACTGGGGAGGCTGAGGCAGGAGAATCACTTGAACCCAGGAGGTGGAGGTTGCAGTGTGCCAAGATCGTGCCATTTTACTCTAGCCTGGGTGACAGGGTGAGGCTCTGTCTCAAAAAAAAAAAGTGACTTAGTGATTTTAAAATCAGTACCTGTAAAAATGTGCGATAATCTTCACTAGTAACTCCTCCTTCTGCCATTCTCATCCTTTCTTCCTCATCCAGCTGATGTGCAATTGAGGATAATTCCACAGGGCTAAAATATTCTCCTTGCAATAAATTATTCAGGCAATGTTGAGCACAAAGTGAGCCTTCTTGCTAATATTTCCAAAAAAAAAAAAAAAGTAAAATGTGACTTACTGAACAGAATTGTGTAGTATCTTCCCCTAAATAATTTAATCATCAACTTTTTTTATTTTGTTTCTTTTGAGACAGAGTCTTGCTCTGTTGCCCAGGCTGGAGTGCAGTGGCGCAATTTTAGCTCACCACAACCTCCACCTCCCAAGTTGAAGTGATTTTCCTGCCTCAGCCTCCCGAGCAGCTGGGACTTCAGGTGCCCACCACCACGCCTGACTAATTTTTGTATTTTTAATAGAAACAGGGTTTCACTATGTTGGCCAGGCTGGTCTCCAACTCCTGACCTTGTGATCTGCCCGCCACAGCCTCCCAAAGAGCTGGGATTATAGGCATGAGCCCCCATGCCCAGGCAACTTTTTTTTTTTTTAACATAGTTGAACTGGGGCCGGGTGCAGTGGCTCATACCTGTAATGCTGGCACTTTGGGAGGCCAAGGCGGATGGATCATGAGGTCAGGAGTTCAAGACTAGCCTGGCCAACATGATGAAACCTTGTCTCTACTGAAAATACAAAATATTAGCCGGGCCATGTGGCGGGCGCCTGTAATCCCATCTACTCGGGAGGCTGAGGCAGAGAACTGCTTGAACCTGAGAGGCGGAGGTTGTAGTGAAGAGAGATTGCGCCACTGCACTCCAGCCTGGGCAACAGAGTAAACCCTGTCTCAAAAAAAAAAAAAAAATGAACTGAACTTTCAGCTTTAGATAAGCATAATATAGGTGTATGAATTTTCATTTAACATTTATTTTACAAATCTACCATTAATAAAACTATAATTACATGATCAAAAATTTAAGAATGATCTTAAACAAACATGATCATCTGTCAAATGCATCAAATCTATTTTTTTTTTTTTTTTTTTTTTTTTAGACGGAGTTTCACTCATGTTACCCAGGCTGGAGTGCAATGGCGTGATCTCGGCTCACCGCAACCTCTGCCTCCTGGGTTCAGGCAATTCTCCTGCCTCAGCCTCCTGAGTAGCTGGGATTACAGGCACGCACCACCATGCCCAGCTAATTTTTCGTATTTTTAGTAGAGACGGGGTTTCACCATGTTGACCAGGATGGTCTCGATCTCTTGACCTCGTGATCCACCCGCCTCGGCCTCCCAAAGTGCTGGGATTACAGGCTTGAGCCACCGCGCCCGGCTTTTTTTTTTTTTTTTAAGGCAGGGTTTCACCATGTTGGTCAGGCTGGTCTTGAACTCCCAACCTCAGGTGATCCGCCCACCTTGGCCTCCAAAGTGCTTGGATTACAGGCGTGAGGCACCATGCCCAGCCCCAAATCTCATATTTTACTGAAAACTACTATATAAAACATTTAGTCTCCCTCATTTTCAGTACCTAAGATAAATTCATTCTTGGGGATTCCATAGTAAATTACTAACGGTGAAAAAAAATTTCAGTCCCTATAACAGTTATTTATTTATTTAAAAAACAAGGTCTCACTATGTTGCTCAGGGTGGACTTGAACTCCAGAGCTAAAGGGATCTTCCTGCCTCAGCCTCCTGAGCAGCTAGGACTACAGAAACATGCCACTGTATCCAGCTCCCTAGAACATTTATTCTTTTTTTTTTTGGTGGTGGGGGGGAGGGGGGAATGGGCGGTGACAGAGTTTCACTCTTGTCATCCAGGCTGGAGTACAGTGGCGCGTAGCTCACGGCAACCTCCACCTCCTGGGTTCAAGTGATTCTCCTGCCTCAGCCTCCAGAGTAGCTGGGACTACAGGCACAGGCCACCACACCCTGCTAATTTTTGTATTTTTAGTAGAGATGGGGTTTCACCATGTTGGCCAAAATATTCTCAATCTCCTGACCTTGTGATCCATCCGCCTTGACCTCCCAAAGTCCTGGGATTACAGGCATGAGCCACCGTGCCCGGCCAACATTTATTCTTTTAACATGATAATCTTGGCCAAGCATGGTGGCTCACATCTGTAAACCCAACACTTTGGGAGGCCGAGGCAGGTGGATTGCCTGAGGCCAGGAGTTTGAGACTATCCTGACCAACATGGCGAAACCCCATCTCTTCTGCTAAAAATACAAAAATTAAAGAGGTGTGGTAGTTTGCACCTGTAGCCCTAGCTAACCAGGACACTGAGGCATAAGAATTGCTTGAATCTGGGGAGTGGAGCCTGCAGTGAGCCACGTGCCACTGCCACTCCAGCCTGGGTGAGAGAGCAAGACTTTGTCTTAAAAAAAAACCCAAAACCAAAAAAAATCCTCCACTCAATCTAAACGCTTGTTGATAGAATTTTAAATCTTAAGAATTAATACAGGTGAGAAAAATTCTGTTCCATGTTAAAACTTGCAGTTACAGGACTGAAGTTCTCTTCATGGAACTCTACAGATAATGTACACACAGTGTAGTACAATGAGCAGAAGTGTCCCAAACAAACCTGGAGCTCACTCCTGGACCAGCCAGCAGGAGGGACTGCAACCAAGCTCAGCTCCCATGACAGCCTTCCTCCTTGTAGGAAGTAGGTACAACTTCCCATGGGTTCAAGCCATTCAGGTACTGGGCAGCTGGCTTTCTCACACAACTGGCACTCTGAATCCAAGTCCGGGCTGCCTGGCACTGAGTAGCCTGCGTATGACCCTCCTTCCTACAACAGTGTAGCTTTCCCATGCTATCTGATAAGAAGGTAGACTCATAGGATGGATCTGTCCCTGTAAACACCAGGTTTGCCCCTCCCTGAATTGATGGTAGATGAGAGAACATTTCCTTTTCCTGCTAACCTTGGCTCTCCAAGTGCTCTCTTTCCCCAGTAAGATCTATTCCTTAACCCAACCTATCTGACATGCAATTTGTCCCAAGCTGTGTTACACAGTAGACTCTAAAGAGAACCACCTTGCAAGATGGATATTTTTCCTGATGAATAAATGTTCTAGGAACAAAATTCAGGCGGTGAAAAAAATGCAGGTTATGTGTATAAAATGGAATAGGAAGACTGCATTGCTACAGGAAATATCAAGTTCGGACATTGAGACAGCCTATGTCTGAGATAAGTTTACCTTCATCTTTTGGAAAGGAATAAGTAGCTTGGAGCTACAGAGAACACTATCCCTCAAGTCTTTTCATGAGAATAGACTTCTTATTTCCACTTCTTTCTCCATCTTCTATATTTCTACTATCATAGTGCAACTCTTACTGATGCAAATTGAAGGGATATACAGATGTTCTACTTATATCCTATTGAAAAATAGCCAAGCCTGGCTGCAGTGGCTCATGCCTGTAAGCCCAGCATTTTGGGAGGCCACGGCAGGAGGATTACTTGAGCCCAGAAGTTTGAGACCAGCCTAGGCAACATGGTGAAACCCCATCTCTACAAAAAATAAAAAATCAGCTGGGCGCAGTGGTGCATGCCTATAATCCCAGCTACTTGGGAGGCTGAGGCAGGAGAATCACTTGAACCCGGGAGGTGGAGGTTGCAGTAAGCTGAGATGGCACCATTGCACTCCAGCCTGGGCAACAAGAGCAAAACTCCGTCTCAAAAAAAAAACAAAATTGGCCAACCCTTCCGCCACGGTCGCCATTGGAGAGTAGCAGCCATGGCTCTTCGGTATCCTATGGCCGTGGGCCTCAACAAGGGCCACAAGGTAACCAAGAACGTGAGCAAGCCCAGGCACAGCCGCCGCCGTGGGCGTCTGACCAAACACACCAAGTTCGTGCGGGACATGATCCGGGAGGTGTGTGGCTTTGCCCCATACGAGCGGCGCGCCATGGAGTTGCTGAAGGTCTCCAAGGACAAACGGGCCCTCAA